TCTCATTAGTAGTACGATTCCTGAAGCTATTTTGCTACGAGAAATTTATTTGAATAAAGTTAAACAGTAGAAGAGAACTGTCAAAACAAAATTATAAAAGCACCTCGATTATATGATAAAGTGATTGTTACAATTTGTTATCAATACAATTTCAATGCCACAAACGAAATAATAATTTCTTGTTATTTTACAACATTTGGCTTTTATAGATCAATACAGTAAAATCTTTGTAAAAAAAATAATGATATAATCGTTCGAACTACTTTGATTCATTCTCAAAAGAGATACTTTTTCTTCTTGTGAGATTTCCGTAGAAATCTTTTATTGAATACATAGCTATTTAATCTTTACTGTACCTATTCAAAGTACTCTATATCTACTTAATCTTTGCTGTAGCTATTTAAAGTACAACTCATTCGTTGTAGCACGGAACGCTATGTATATTTTTATATTACTGTTGAATATTTCGTGACTGTATTGAAAGCGTAGAGTGGTCAGCTGAAGTTCAAAAGACATATTTGAATGTGGGTAACATTTTAAAGTTCGATTTCGAGATTCACGTGACATTAATTTTTCAAAGTATGAGAGTTTTTATAGTATTATGGACCGTTTGAATTTGAAGAGTTTTGTATGTGCAAGGTTTTCAAACAGTTCTTCATTATTATACTACATTTAACATTGAATAAGAATTTGAACGCTTTACAGTATTTCCTACAGCACTGAACATATTTGGGATTGGTTTTCTGATTCAGCTTCTTGAAAGATAGTGTAAAATTCTAGTTAGATAAAAAGAATGTACGGGGACTGCTGGTAGTGCGTGATTTGTGATCGACGAAAAGATCAACTTGCATATTTCTGAAATAGGGAACCTTTTTTTTAAATAAGCCTTATATTAAATCGTAAAACCTTCAAAGCACGATACATATGTAATTCGTATTCGTACTTTGTTCAGTAGAGAAGTTTGCCTTAAAAAATCTATGCAGCGATGTATTCATAGTTATGGTTTATGTTGACTGTCAACGTCAGAGCATGGAAGCAAAATGAAACTTATGGAAGGTGATATTGGATTGGACCCTTCCCTAGTGATGAATTTTCGTCAAAAAACGTTTTGCAATTGACGTTGGCAGAAACGTTTTTAAAGCACCATCTTCTGAATTTTTTTTTATTTAAACGTGATTCATAGCCGATTCCGTCGACGGATTTCAAATTTGTCTAAGAATATGTTTCCATTTAAGAATTATAGCGAGTCAAAATCTTGAGAAATGTTGTAAAATGCTGTAACTCTCAAATGGAACCATATTTTTAGATGAGATTTGAAATTTGTCGATAGAATCCACTGTAAATTATGATTAAAATCAAATTCTACTATAATGAATAGAATAAGACTGGAGTAGTGGAAATAAAACATATCCAGAAACAACGACTATAAAACATTTTGATAAAATTTTATCACGTGGGTCCAATATAACCTCCCATAAATTTTATCTTGACTCCATGGTCCGAAGGCGAGAGTTAACATAAACTAAAATCTTTATCAACCCATGAAGGCATGGTATTGAAAATTTTCTCAGTACCGTATATCCTATTCTGTTAAAATCGCCAGAACAGAAGGAGACATGTCTTATTTTTTGCGCAAATTATACAAATTAAAGTAATCTAATATAAAAAAAGGAGTGAAAGTAAACAAGTCCTCACTATAATCGTTATTTAGAAATTCTTCCGCAATATTTTTTGCAATGTGCAATTTTTACAGTTTTGATAAGTTTGAACACTAAACTCATGCTCTCAAAAAACAAAAGACGAGCAGGATTGGTGGGGGGGGGGGGGGGGTGGGTTGGATAGTGTGGTTGT